TGTTGGGAAGTGAGGATGGTGGTCGGCACCTGCTGGCGAAGCTATAGCATGAGCGCATCTCGTCGTTGAAAATTACTGTCTGTGCATGCGCGTAGTGTTGGCTTCGCTACTCCTGTGGTTTTGGTGCGGACACCTGTCAGATGTTAATGTGGACGAAATTGAAACTCGGGGTAGCGTGAAACAAAGTCTCCCAATGTATGCGGTTACCCCTTTATGCTTCCGGCACCGGTGAGAAAACTTCGCAATGTTCAAGACACAAGCGCATTGGCACATCATAGTAGAGGCGAGCTGTCAAGAGACTTGGGTGAATACTCCGCAATTCATAGTGGTTTCCAAACCTTAAATTCGCGGAGCGGTCCAGTCAATCTTACTAGTCGCCCGTTGGAAGAGGGCCGATTACTGATTGCTGTCAACGCCCAATGATAAGTTGATGTCATGGTTTTAGGCCTCCGAACGCTGGAGCCGTTGAAAATGACATGCCATCTTTCCCTGCTAGACGACCGTTGAAACATTGGCATCGCGTGTTCGCGATGATCGGGTGCGTATCGGGAGTTGTTGGTCGGCGTATTTGAGGCGCTCCGAAAGTAGGCGGCCTGCATCGACCTTGCAGACTAATACTGGAGTTCAGGATAGGTTATGAGATAGATACACCAGAAAGAGTAAGAATTTCGACACTAAGAAGTCTAAAGCTTATCTGGCTGTGCCTCGAAACATGCATGGAGTTGAACGCCTCGTCTGGTGTTGCAGCATCGTCGCAGTCGGCAAGCGGGAGGCCGCTGAGCGCCAAGACACCACTAAGTCATGAGTCAGCAACGAGAGATGCCTGTCGCTTGTGACGCAGTTATGCAGTCTACGGCACATCAACCCACTATGCAGCACCGTTTTCCCGAGCACCGGGCCTGACCCCATGCCCTTCGATCTCTGCCATTCAACCCTTATGGTCCATCTTCCGCCAGTCACCGGGCGCTCCATTCCAAGCTCGTAAAAGCGCGGCCTGGGTTTCAGCCTGATCGCCGCTACGCCTTTTCTGGCTCAGGACCCTTCGGATGACCACGCAGCACATTCGCGGACCGGAGAGGAGACATAGTTATTAGACTTGACGTTCTTTGTTCTGTGCAATCGGATGCCCGCGCTAGTGTTTGCTTCGTAGGAACCTTACCTGAGCCTGAACAGCAGCGACTGCGGAGCTTGCCGCCCTTTCGTCTTACCGCCTCATCGCCTCCAGAGCATAAGCATGTCCTATCGTGGCCGACCCAGTAAGGGATGCGAGGCTTGCAGAGCCCGTAAAGTCAAGGTACGCATCTCTTTCTGTTCAATTCCGCGAATTGCCCTACTCTCATGCTGCACCACGCGCAGGGCAACGACGGCCATGCGGACAAGGCTGATGCCAGAGTAGTGCGATGAGGGTAGACCAGCTTGCAGTCGATGTAGCAAGGCAGGTCATGAATGCAAATATCGAGACCAAGCCGACATCCTCTTTCGGAACCAAACGGCATCGGCTGCGCAAAGAGCAGAAGAGTCGTGGCGGAAGCGATCAAAGTCAAACCAACGTGCTACCGTTGCCGAAAGTAGCAACGCCTACAGCAACACCTATAATAACACCTATATCAAAACGCCACCAAGCGACGAGTCAACACCACCCCATCTGGATGACACGCGCTCGTCCAGCGGTAGTGTACATTCTCCTGGTGGCTCTGTGGATGACCCGGCTCAAGAATCATCAAGCGTTGCGTCCGCAACCATCGATCTAAGTCGGCTGACTATTACTCCGTCGCTCAATCCGGACTTCCGTAGAAGAGCTTTTGAGCGCTTTGTGTACGACTTTGTGCTGCCCGACTCGCCGAACCGACCAGCCGACCAACCAGATGAAGCCCTGTGGACATTTATCCCGCTTTTGTATCAAGACGCCCCGGAGAACTCATTGATCGCGACAGCGGTTGACGCAGTATCTTACGTCAACTTCGCTAATAGATACAATGATTCTCATGCGCAAGCACTAGGTGAGGAATGCGTAGGAAGGGCCCTTCCGATGTTGACAAAGGCAATCGCGGACAAGAAGCAGGCAGCCACGAATGTTGCGCTTTGCTCAGTACATCTGATGGGCATCTACGAGGTACGCCCGTTCGTTACAGTTTGATGATATGCACAAAATCTAACGTGATGAACAGAATCTTACCAGCGTGCAGCGGAAAGGAACATTTCTGGCTCACAACCAGGGCGCAAATGCTATGCTTCAATTGCGGACGGTTGAGGAGTTCTACAGCGACATCATATCAGCGAGACTTTACGAAGTCATCTATGCACATCTGGTAATTGCCGTCATAGATGAACACCTTTTTTCCGCGGATAGCTAACCTTGCGACAGCTATTAGGTAACTTACAGGCAGCAAGACGTCCCCAAATACCCACGAGGGATGTGGTCAAAGTAGACGAATTACTTCCAAGTCTATACAAGAACTCCAACGCCTTTGTCATTCGTCTAATATGGCGAGCGGCAATGCTACATGCCAGATGGCACGAGACCAAGCAAAGTCCAAACCCACCAACCAACCGCATGGCCTTGCAAGAACTTCTACAGAGCGCGCTCGAACTAGAGAGCGATTACGAAGCTTGGGAGGCAAATGTTACACCGGCTTGGAACTACCACATGACACCCAACACACCGGAGGCTCGGTCGACCTACGACGCCAAGTTGCAAAAGCTTTTCTTGGGTTGTCCAGGCGCACCGGAAGAGATTCACATATACCCGAGCTTGAAGCGCGTCTGGATCTGGGGCTTCTACCGTACAAGCCGCATACTTGTTCTACGTGACCTGCTCGAGATGTTGAACTGGATGTTGAGATTCCGGGACCCTTGCCTATCTTTCCGCCCTCAAGAAGCCCCGGGGCAGTCTATGCCTACTGCTCTAAGTAATGCAAATCTCCGGATGCATCACTCGGTCGCTACCGCCCGCCTAGTCGAGGTCATCGAGAAGAACTGTTCTTCCATACTTGGCAGCTTTACTGTACCGATAGATACTAAGTCTGCGACCGATATTTGTGGCATGCGGGGCTATATCTGCATATGGCCCCTGGGTACGATGGATTCAGTACTCAGCTCAGGTCTTGTGCCGGATAGCAATACAGGCAAGCATCCGCACAGCGCTACTCACCTGCCAACACCACCGCCAGTTTACTCGCAACCACATCTGGCTACATCCACTTCCAACGCGTCTTCCTCAAGCGAGCCGTCGACGGCTCTGGAATCCTACGAGGCAGCACCGGCATTTTCCGAACTCCGCAACATTCGGACCAAGTCGGAAAGCGGCCAATCTCCTGGCGCGAGTCCGCCATCGAACACCCCGCTCTTGGATCAAAATGCAAAGAAGAATCATATCTTCGATCCCAACCCCGCGCACCCATACGATCACCCGCTAGACCTACCTCCACTGGACCACAGGGTAGAGCCCAGGAGGATAGACATTGCAGCGCGACGAGAATGGATAAACCGCCTAATGTACTACATGGCCACAGAACTGGGGCTGAAGAAGGCGCTCTGGTGCCCAGTCATGCAAGGCTACATGCCTACCGTGAAACCCATGGTTGACGAGATTCTCAGCCAAGAAAGAGGTTTCTAAAAACTCGAATTACGCATTTGGCAACGGAGTATAAGCAACAAGGGCATCTCGTTGGCGTTTTTGAGATTATGTCTTTTGCATTTACGAAGGGAAATGTTTGGTCGGATGCACGATTTGGTAACATATTTGTTCACGTACATATATTTCGGTTCGAAGCTGTTTGGATATATACGAAAGTTATGGCTTGTATTTTGGATCATGAGGGTATTGTTGAGTGATTGGGAGTGAATTGTGAGCTGACTCGGTTAGGATAAGCGTTCACGACTACTGCCTTAGTTAAGTGTGGGTAAGCAATGGCTCGATGGAGCCCTGACATTCACGGCTCGGTCTATATACCCATAGCCCATTAGGTTCAGCTGCAATTGCGATTCAGTGCAACCAACCAGCCACCAACCAATTTCCGCCGGAGAAATCCCCAAACTCAAATGGGCGGACACAGGATGGATTACGTCGCAACTCTGCCTTCCATCCCCGAGGAGGCCGTCGACAAGCACGACCTTATGTAGGTACATTCTCTGGAACTCTCGCTGCAAATGTTCGCTCGACCCGCTGACATGCACAGCACAGAAGCCAATGCCAAGAACTCGCCATTGCTGCGCCTTCCAGGCGAGCTGCGCAACAAAATTTACGGCTACGCTCTCGCCGACTCTTCCATTGAACCACTGCTGCGCCCGCGGACTGCCTCAACACACGCTCGAACAAGCTCGGGCCGACCCATGTCCCCCACCGTCTCACTCCTTCGAACATGTCGTCAGACCCGGTCCGAGTCCGAGTCTCTCTTCTTTTCCCACACAACGTTCGGCTTCAATTATGCGCGATATGACTTCCATCGTTTCCTGGGACACATTGGGCGTGAAAAGAGGGAACTCATCACGTCGATCGCCATGCTATTCTCTACGCTTGAATTGCTTGAGCAATACGAGGGGCGGTATAAGCTTCCACGGCTGGAGTACGTTTACGTGAGGGTGTCTGCTGAATATCATGAATATTATCACAAGGGAAACACGCAAACACTACAGAGGCTTGCTGGGACAATGGGAAAGAAATTGGGATGTGAGACGGCTACGTTCGTTCCGAAAGTATATGTTTGTCCGTGTGATCGATGTCAAGTAGATAGGAGTGGTGGTAGATTCGGTTTGAGACAAGGAGATGACTCGTGTCTTCAGGCAGGCTCGGGTCGCGAGGACGTCACCTCGTCCTCGAGATGCAGCCTCATGTAGTTAGCGCTAAGTTGCAGTCACCATCACCGTTTGTCTTCATGCAGACCTTGTACTAGCGTCGCGGCCGGCATTGACTGACAGCTCCCCTACCCACTACTCGACATCTCGCTCTCATAACCGTCGTTGAAACGCAAGACTGCTGTCGCACCGCCGGCACACTGACGATGCTTCGCCTCTCCGACCTAGGTTCCATGAAGCCTGGCATCTTACCTCCAGACCAAAAAGACGACCGCGACGAAGACCTCCGCGACGTCGACGACGTCTTCAACAACGACTACCACATACAAAGCAACATCAACCCCATCTTCCCAAAGAAGCAAAACAGAGACAAAACGTACACTCACCCCTCACCACCACTGTCTTACGTCCTAACACCCCCAGCACCCACACCAACCAACCCCCCTCCCCTCTCCTCCTCCTCCCCGCCGAACTCCGCAACAAGATCTACAAATTCGTCTTCCTAAACACCACCATCAACATCAACAAGCTCCTTATCAAAAAAGACGTGCTCGGCCACTACCCCAGCGTCCGCGCGGTCCTCTACACCTGCCGCCAGATCTACATCGAAGCCAGCGCCTTGTCCTTCACGCTCTGCACCTTCGTTCCTAGCTACTTCGCCCTCCGCTTCTTCTCCTCGTCTAATCTACCCGCCGCGGGCTTCGGAAGGATCGAGCGTCTGTGGTTGACAAAGGGGAATGGGCAAGCTATCATTGAAGGACAGGATGAAATAAAGGGTGCCTATCTCAAAGAATGGTTTGCGTCATTGAAGCTCTTGGAGATAGAAGTGTGGCGTCTGAAAGTAAACTTGACGGACGCTCAGGCAAGAGAGAAGGTGAGGGATGCGTTTGGGCTGCCGGATCTGCTTGTTGTGGGGAGGCGCGTGGGTGAGGATGGGGTGGTTGCTGGTTGATGGCTTGGATGGGATGGGATTCTAGCGTATGGAGAATGATCGGAATTGAGCTTGGAGCTTGATGGCTTAATGTCATGTTTCCAAAGGAGTTCTTGAGCTTCCTGAGGAATGAGGAAAGTCGCGTTCGGCGTTTAGCCCCGCGCTAGAATCTAATCCCCGACCTCGGGACTCCACAAGTCCTGCTTACATAACGCACTCGCCCTCTTCCATCACCAAACCGCCTTCCAGAGTCCAGATTGCCAGCCCCATCGCTCATCCCCCCATCCGCATTCGCATTAGCGCTGCGACTTCCAAGTACACCCGTACCATTTCAATCCCAATCCAATCCCAATACTCCCTCGTCAATCAAAGACGTAAGGAAACGCAAAGTCGGTATTACAGAGAAAGAGCTAGGAACCACCACACACACCACACACACACCACACGAAAATGGATATCCGCGTCCTACGCCCATCGGACATTCCGCATGTCCAGCTTGCGAATATTACGAACTTGCCCGAGAACTACTTTTGCAAGTATTACTTGTATCATGCGATGAGTTGGCCGCAGTTGAGCTATGTGGCTGTTGATGTAAGTTTCTTGTGTTTGTGTTTGTGTTTGGGGGAGAGCTAGGAACCTGTGTGAAGAGGACGAATCAGAGAATAAGCAGCTGCGATTGCTGCGCTTGGCTCGTGTATGAGATAATGGTTGAGCAACGGGGAGTCGTATGCGTGGAACACGTGACGATCTGGTGTTTACTTGTCCCTTCGATATTGGATCACACATTGATACGTTTTGCACGTTACTAACACCACCTCTCAGGTATCCCGCCCCCCCAAAACCCCCTACGACCCCCCCAAAATCGTCGGCTACGTCCTCGCCAAGATGGAGGAAGAGCCCACCGACGGCGTCCAACACGGCCACATAACCTCCCTATCCGTAATGCGCACGCACCGCCGCCTCGGTCTAGCTGAGAAACTCATGAGACAATCCCAACGCGCCATGGCAGAAACCTTCAACGCCCACTACGTCTCCCTACACGTCCGCGTCTCCAACAACGCAGCCCTGCACCTCTACCGCGAGACCCTCGGTTTCACCGTCGACAAGATCGAAGCGAAATACTATGCTGATGGTGAGGATGCGTATAGTATGAGGATTGAGCTGGCGGATTTGAAGGAGCAGTTGAGGGATGAGGAGGAGGATATTTTTGGGAGTGAGGGGGTTGATGAGGGGGATGCGGTGGGGAGTGAGGGGGTTAAGGTATGTTTATCTGGTAGGAAGGGGGGATGTGTGCTAACGATTGATACAGGAGAAGAAGCCCGCGAAGAAGACAAAGGTCAAGGTGGGTAGGGGGAAGGGTGTTGTTGATCTTGTGGAGAAGAATGAGGCGGCTGCTGCTTAGGAGGCGGGGGTTGCCATTGCTGAGATTCATACGAGGATACGTCTGGGGATGTGGAGGGGATGTGGAGGGGATGAGGGAGGATGTTGAACGGCTGGCGCTGGGATTGAGAGAGAATGCGAGTGTGTTGGCATTACTTGATAGCACATTCGTTGTGCTATAAAAGCCCTAGAAGAGGTACGCTATCCAGCGTGTATCCATATCTCACCTTCTCATGCTATGCTATACCATGCCATATGCTACCGTATATTCTAAATTCTCAACTCCAATTCCATGCAAGAAGGAAGTAGCCAACCAAAAGAAGAAGAAAGATAGAAAGAAAGAAAGAAAACGCCCATCCGTATACCTTGTTGGATATCATAAAATGCCCAGATCATAATTGCCCGCCACATAAATCATCATCTCCCCCATCTCATCTCCTACATCAACCCCCCCAGTACAACCTTTCCCACACCCCCAACCTCACTCTTAAGCCCCGCCCGACAACTATCCTCAAACTCGCGCACAACCCCCGCAAGAATAATCTTCCTCACCCGCGCATCCGCCTTGTTGAATAAATCGCCCACCAAACTAGGCACCCCACCCCCCGCACTCGCCACACTCTCAGGCGTACTAAGCATACTAAGTATCTTCGTATAACAATCAATCAAGACATCGCACAGCGTCGCAAACGTGCTGAAGAAATCGGGGTCGAAAGGCAGACTCGGCGTCTGGAGATGCGTGTAGCTTTCATTCGGAAGCAAGGAATCGTCTGTTGTAGGCGGGGAGTCGAAGCCGCCACCCATGCCACCACTCGTTTCCGACCCAGTGAAACTATTGCTTGGAGTGAGCAACGGGAAATCGCCGTTCGCGCTGCTGGACCGCCGGCCTTTACTCCCCATTGACATGCCCATGCCCATGCCCATGCCCATGTTTGCGCGCTTGAACATCTGGGGGAGGCGGGCGCGGGAGAGCGAGGAGGGGGTGGAGCCGTCGGCGGGGTGGATGGATTGGTATTGTTCGAATTCTAGTAAGAGGGCGTTGAGGGCTTTGAGGTAGTCGGAGGGCGAATTGGCGTTTAGATCGAGGATTGTGGGGAGCGAGAAGCCGAGGAGCAGGTAGTGGGTGGCGCGCCGGGCTTGGTTGCGCGTTGTGAAGGAGGGGAGGCGCGTGAGGTCGGTTTTGGAGAAGAGGAGCGTGTTGAACCAGTAGATGCGGCCTTCGTGGCTGGGGGGTGTTAGTGAGAGTTGATATAGAAGAGGGAAAGTAGAAGGACTCACGCCTTCCGCAGGTAGTCGAGGGTGGATATGCGCTTTGAGGCGAGCTCGTGGATGTGCTGGAAGACGAGGTTGGGGTTGGAGCCGTTGGGGACGGGGATGGGCGCGGCAGGAGCTAATGTGCGATTGGACTGCTGGTTTGCCTGGAGGATCTCCTTCTGGGAGGGCGGATGGCGCAGCGGGATGGGGACAGCCATGTTGCCGAAGGGAGTCTTGGGCTTGTCGACGGCGCTGAGGGGGCTCTTCTCGTAGACCTGCGCCTGGGGCTGTTGGACACTGCCACCCTCGGTCTTGACGTTCTCGCTGCTTTTTTGCTTGCTGCGCGAAAAGGTGGAGATGGAGAGGGCGGGCCGCGAGGCATTCGTCACACTGGCGGGCACGGGGGCCTTCTCGGGGGAGTAGGTGAGGGCCAGGGTGGCCGAGGGGGTCCTCTTATGCGAGGACGAGGCCGACGCGTTGGTGCGAAGCGAGGCGGACCGTGACCTCCGCAGCGTGGACCCGAGATCGGTGACGGACGAGGCGATGCTGTGCCTGCTGCTGGCGTGCCTGCGTCGTGGTGGCGTCGCTGCGAGGCGGGCGGGAAACTCGTATTGGTCGAGTTGGAGAGGGGGTGTCTTTAGCCCGGGGGTGGCCGCGGGGGTGATGTTGAGGGCGGGCGGCGCGAGGGTCGAGTTTGTTTGCTTGTGTCCTTGTCCCTTGGTCTTGCCGCCGAAAAACGAGGGGCGGCGGGAGAAGAGGCCCTGGCTGGAGTTGTCGGCCATGCTGGTAGCCCATGTGCTTTCCCAGACGTGTGGGGCTACCGAGCGATCAGGGGCTGTTTCACCACGGACCCTGATAACATTGCGGCGTTGCGTTTCTAGAAGACGTGTGCTACTCGTAAATATACTACGTAGTCTTTGTTAAAATGTAGGTGAGGAAACACGCAGACGGGACTGCACGCTATAAGGTAGATACTGGCGCGCAAAACGAAAACGTGTTTCGATTCGCGGCTACAGCTGATACCGTGAGAACCTATCCCGACGCAGGAACAAGCCGCCCGAGGCCCATCCCTGCCCACCGCCTCTGCCCCTGTCGCCTACATTGCCATAGCTTCACTGACTATGCCATTTGCCCACGTGCGGCTATCAGCACGTTAGGCTGAATCCAGAGTGGCAGGTGCTGCTTCCAAGCTCCAAGCTTCCAAGCTTTCCAGTCCCACGGTTCAGACTCGACACCGTCCGACTCTCTCCTAGACACTCCATTGCAACCAGGTTCCGCTATATTGTTGTGTGTTGCGCCAGCCCCGCCAACTACCCCACGTCACGATGCAGCGCAGACAGAGCGCACGAGTACGCACCACCACGACATTCATATCCGCGCAACACTGACGAAACACAGGGAGAGTGGATTCCCTCAGAGGGACAGTGGCCCGTGGATCCTCAGGAAGACGTCGAGGTTTCGGACGAGCGCATATGGGTCGATGGTTGTTTCGACTTTGCTCACCACGGTATGCCGGCTGCCGGAGTTGAGGTATTCAGCGCTTACAGAGACAGGCCATGCGGGCGCCATGCTGCAGGCGCGCCAGCTGGGCAACGAGCTGTTCGTTGGTGTGCACTCGGATGAGTCCATCATGGAGAACAAGGGCCCGACGGTGATGCGCCTCGACGAACGGTGCGCACAGCCATGACGAATGCGCCGCCTTTATAGCTAACAACATCAGTGTCGCCGCGGTCGAAGCCTGCCGATGGGCTACCAAAGCCGTCCCGAGGGCGCCCTACGTAACCTCGCTACCCTGGATCACCCACTACGGCTGCCAATACGTCGTCCACGGCGATGACATCACCTCCGACAGCGACGGAAAGGACTGCTACCGCTATGTCAAGGCAGCGGGAAGGTTCAAGGTGGTTAAGCGCACACCTGGCATCTCGACGACCGACCTCGTGGGCCGCATGCTGCTGTGCACCAAGTCGCACTTTATACCATCGCTGGAGAAGAGGCTGTCCGGAGACGAGGGCCCGGGTGACGAGAAGGAGCGGTTAAAGACAGGAGAGGAGATGCTTCAGCGCATCAAGGACTATGCGACCGACGCCTCAGGTCGCGCGCCTGGCTGCGACGTGTGGTACTGGCATGCTTCCCGACCCGTCAAGCTGCGGAGGACAACCACCAGCAACACCGTAACCTCGCCTACCTCACCCACTGCGCCGCGCCCTGGCACCGTCCGTCAGGCCTCAACCGCCTCAGCACTCGGACCCGTCAAGGAAGAAAAGGGCAAGTTCCACGAGCTGGTCAAAGGCAAGGGCGTCAAGCCCGGCCAAAAGGTCATCTACGTCGACGGAGGCTGGGACCTCTTCTCTTCGGGCCACATCGAGTTCCTCCGCCTCGTCAAA